CTACATCCACTGTTACTGCTACTATTACTACTACTACTACTACTACTACTACTACTACTACTACTGCTACTACTACTACTACTACTACTAATAATACTACTACTACTACTACTACTACTACTACTACTACTATTACTACTACTACTACTACTACTACTACTACTACAACTACTACTACTACTGCTGCTACTACTACTACTACTACTACTACTGCTACGACTACTACTACTACTACGACTACTACTACAACTACTACTACTACGGCTACGACTACGACTACGATTACGCCTACTACTATTGCTCTTAATGATACCTCCACCTGTTCTGGCTAAGATCACTGCGGCTGCATATGCGCCCAAGGCGGAGGAAGAGTGCGGAGGAGAAAGAAGTAAACGGTAGAGGTGGAAAAGAGGAAGAGGAGGGGTAGGGGTGGAGACGAGGGACCATTATGAAAGTCGATCCTTGTCCTGCCGTCCTGGAGACATTGCCTTTGTCTGTGGTCGAACCTAAGCGCGCAAATCGCGCGCGTGGTTCCTAATTCTTGCATAGCAAGCCGACGACGGTCATAACAATGGACACGTCAATGGACACGTTGTAGGTGTATCTTGCATCCAACTACTTAGTAGTTTCTTTTTTTTTCTGTCTCTCTTCCACTCTCTCTTTCCCTCTCTCCCTCTCTCTCTACTGTGTAACTACTTTCTCTATTTCCCTATTTGTTTTCTCTCTCTCTCTCTTTCTCTCTCTCTCTCTCTCTGTCTCTCTCTCTCTGTATTTATAGAGATATCGGCAGGAGGAGGAGAAGAGGAGGGGGAGGAGGAGTAGGTGGAAGAGGAGGAGGAGCATTTGGAGGAGCAGGCGGTTGGCGGCAGCGGCGAGCGGCGATGGCGACGGCGCCGGGCGGGACGTGCCCGCCAGGGGGCCCGACGGCGAGGTCCAGCTGCTGGCGGAGGGCAGGGACCCTGCGCTGCCTGCGGCGCGGGTGCAGGCCCCGCTCTCGGGCGCTGAAATCTCTACACATCCTCTGCTCCCTTGCCGGGCCAATGCTGAACCCGGGAGCCGTGAGCGACGCTACGCCACGCCTTCCCAGCTCGGCCAGGGGGGGCGTCTTCACAGGTCCTGGGTTCGGGATGGGCTTGGCTACGGAGCAGTGGACTTGTTCAGATCTCCTCCTCCTCTTTTTCCTCCTCCTCCTCCTCCTCCTCCTCCTCTCCTCCTCTTGTTCGTCCTCCTCCTCCTCCTCTTGTTCCTCCTCCTCCTCCTCCTCCTCCTCCTCCTCCTCCTCCTCCTCCTCCTCCTCCTCTTCCCCCCTGTCGAGATCCGCCCTCCGAGGGCGGGTGCGGCGCGCGTTCCGCTTCTGGTGCGCGCGCCCCGCGCGGGATGTCTGGGCACGGCTGGCGCGTGGACTCGCAGAGACAGCGCTGCGTGTCCAGAGCGGGCTGGTTTGAACTCATGCTCGCAGAGTTGTTGGGTTCGCTCGAGAGCGTTTTCCCATCCGCTCAAAAAGACCGTTTCATCTTAGGCGGCGAGCAAGGGCGGGAAGCGAGGAGGGGAAGGCCTTCCCAGAAGGCGGCGGGACTTCTCAGAGGCCTTCTGAGACTTCTCAGAAGCCCTCTGGCCTTCTGAGAAGTGTCCTGCGTCGTCCAGGAGGGTTTCGAACATTTCTCACAAGGCCCGTGGACTTCCGAGCCTTCTGAGAAGGCCCGCCCCTTCTCACTTCCCCCGCAGGCTCGCCGCCGATATAGATACAGAGGAGACCCATGCCAAGAAACACCCTGCTAGCCTCCAGGGTGCCCTGGGCTTTTTGGGTTTCGATGGCTTTGCTACGGAAAGCGTGACGCTCCCGCACCAAGCACCAGTGGACGCCCTGGGGTCTCAGGGTTGGGTTTCTTGTAGAAGGTTTCTTGTGGTCGAGCCCTTTACTGCAGGGCTGGACCTAAGCAGTGTTTTGGGTGATTTCGTGGGCCGTGTTCGTTTCGGCTTCGTTTTGCGGTGAAGGCGGATTCGAGACACAAAAGCGAGGGACAACGAACACAAAACGAAGACGAAGACCACCGTTTAGGTTCAGCCCTGCTTTATTGTATGTATATGCATCTATATATATATATATATATATATATGGTGTACGTAAATGCCGATGTGCACGTGCACACATCGAGCGACGAGGGCCCGAGTCGACGAGGGGGCCCGAGAGGACAGGACGGCGCACGACGGGCCGAGGGCGCGGGCGCCCGAGCGAGGGGGCCGCCGCGGCGACCCCGCCGCGCGGGGCGGAGCTGGAGGGCAGGCAGGGGAGGCGGGAGGGAGGAAGGGGGAAAAAAAACGGGAGAGATGGGGAGGAGGAGGAGGAGGAGGAGGAGGAGGAGGAGGAGGAGGGGGATTGGGATTGGGGAAGGAGGAGGATTGGACGAGGAGGAGGAGGAGGAGGAGGTGGGGGGGGATGCGGGAAGGAGGAGGAGGAGGAGGAGGATTGGGGAAGGAGGATCGGAGGAGGCCTAGGAGGAGGCCTAGGAGGAGGAGGAGGAGGAGGAGGAAGAGGAGGAGGAGGAGGAGAAGGGCGCGAGAAGGAGAGGGAGGAGGAGACAGGAGGCGGAAGGGATCGGGGCGGACGAAGGGGGAGGGGGCGGAGGATGGAGTGGTGCGGAATCTGCTGCACGCAGCTGGTTTCGGTTCTGCCGCCAGGCACATTCCTCATGGACAGGACGGCAGTGAGCTTCGTGTTCCGGGGGTGGAGGGTGGAGGGACGGACGGTGCCAATGACAATGACCACCTCGATGCCACAGCCTTCGCTGCGACCTCGTGCTTCTTCCCGCGGAGGTGAAGCTGCGCGGCGGGGTCCGCGTGGTTTTCTGCATGGAGGCGAGTGCCACCATCGGCGAGCTGGAGGCAGCCGTAGAGGGGCTCGGCATCTCCCCTCCCTCATCGCCCTCCTCCGCCTCGTCCTTCTTCTTCCACAGCCATTTTCGGCTCGAGAGCCAGCGAGTCTCGGCTTGCGTCGCGGTGGTCGATCGGATCGATCTGCAAGGTAGGGACGGATCTCGCTGCGTTGGAGCAGGCAGCGGTAGCGGTGTGCGGCTTGTCCGTCGCTCGGGCACTCGTGGCGGCAGCGGTAGTGGCAGGAAGGTCACGGAACGGCGTGGCAGTTGTGGCATGCGGGCCTCGGCGCGCATGAGGCAGCGTGGAGTTCCACAGCGGCACCGAGAGCAAGGCGGGTGCATGTCATCAGGCCCGAGCTCAGCGCCGAGGTGCAGCAGGCGAAGCCGTGTGAAAGCCATCCTTGCTCTCCAGCGTTCAGCGTGCGCGTCCAGAACCCGTGGAGCACGATTTCACCGACGCCGTCGTCGGCAGAGGGCCTCCGGAGGCCAGGCGGCGGCGGCGGCACGCACCCGAGACCAGGACGCTGCTTTGACATCGGGCTCTCAGCATTTGACCCCGCGGAGCCGCATGTTCTGGATGCCGCGTCGGGCGGGCGCTGGTGTGGTGGACCGCGAACGACGGTCGAGCTGTGCAGCCGGCACGACGGTGCCGGCGGCCTGGGCGCGCATTATTGACTGACGCGTGGCGTTGCTTGGCTTTGCTTGTCGTTGTTTGGCGTTGCTGAAGGAGGAGGAGGAGGAGGAGGAGGAGGAGGAGGAGGAGGAGGAGGAGGAGGAGGAGGAGGAGGAGGAGGAGGAGGAGGAGGAGGAGGAGGAAGAGGAGGAGGAGGAGGAGGAGCAGGAGCAGGAGGAGGAGGAGGAGGAGGAGGGACGAGGACGACGAGTTCGACGAGAAGGAGAATTGCGAGCAGCACGAGGAGGAGGAGGGCATGGTGTCTGGCATGGCTTTTCATTGATTTGCATTGCTGGGCGTTGCCTGGCGCTGCTTGGCGTTGCTTGGCATTGCCACGAGCAACCCCAGGCAACGCCGAGGACACCGTCGCGATGTACGCATCCACCAGCTTCTCTTTGTCACACAAGCAAGAACTCCTTAGGGAAAGGCTAAGTGGGTAATTGCTTACTTTTACTACTGAAACTTATGAGCGTCCGCGGTGGCCCCGTGTGGGCCTCAGGAAGGGCCACTACGCCGGACTTTCAGAGCCCGCTAGACGGGGACAGTGAAAAACCAGGACATCGGCGCGCCCGAGAGACTGAAGCCGTGTGTCGAAGCATTGTCAACTCTTCGTTCTCTCCAGCTAGAAAGGTCAACGTCTTGGTTAGCGATGTCCTGATTTGGGGGGTGCTGAGACCTGGTCAGACTTCATCGCGGTACGGCCCGGCAGTGCAAGACCTTGTAGCGGCAGCGCCCGACAGCGCTTGTTGTCGCTGCGCCTTCGGAGTTTCTCTCGGGGCGCCTGGGGCGCCTGGGCCGAACAGGCGTAACTCTGCAATTGCCCGCTGGCGCTTGGAATCTTCCGAGGTGCGTCTCACCGACCGTCCATGCGATGCGACAGCAGAAGCTTGTGCGTTTGCCTTGGGCCCCTTGAAAGCCGCGCGCCAAGGGCCACTCCTGCACAGGGCCACCCACACGTTCAGCCGAAGAAGGGGCAATAGAACACGCCCACGACTCGATCTTCAGCCCCGATCCCGGATCCCCGATCACGATCCTCGATCGTCGACCCTGATCTTGGATCCTCGGTTATGGGGAAGGCCTTACGGCCGGTGCCGCCGACCCTGGAGGTGGACGACGACCACGGCGGCGACGACGACGCTGACGTGGGGCAGAGTCCTCAGGGATGCCTCGAAGGGCCTCTTCGGAGCGCGCTCGTGGGCATGTGGGACAGTTTGGAGGCCTCTCGGGAGCATCTTGGGGGCCTCTTCGAGCGCTCTCTGACATACCGCTCGGGGAACGATATACTGCCAATGCTTGTGCCATGTGCTCAGGTCGGGCGCACGCCTCCGAGGAGGACACGCGGTACTGGTATGCCCTTGTGCGTCCTGGGCCACGATCCTCGATCGTCGACCCCGATCCTGGCTGGATCCGACGCTGACGTGGGGCGGAGTCCTCAGGGATGCCTCGTGGGGCCTCTTCGGAGCGCGCTCGAGGGCCTTGGGGGGGGGGGGGGCAGTTTTGAGGCCTCGTGGGAGCATCTGGACGGAGCGGCGAAGGCGCCCGCGGGGTGAGGCGAGCTGCGGGGGAGGAGGATGGCCGGAGGGACGGAGGAGGAGGAGGAGGCGGAGGAGGAGGAGGAGGAGGAGGAGGAGGAGGAGGACCAGTGTAAACCCAAGACCCATCAACGTTGTTGAAATACACCTTCCCTCCAAGATCCCTCTTCATAGGCCCCTACAATGGGTCATTTCCACAGGGAAATGCCCCGGAGGGGGACAACCGTGTGACCATCCTGAAGCGTGCCGAAACACCATTCTCGGGACTTAACGCCACGAGTTCACCTGACTGTTACGTCTTGGCGATCCTGAACCGTGCCAGAACATCGTTCCTGGGGCTTTAACATTGCCAGTCAACGTAACTGATGCGCCCTGACAATCCTCAATCCTTACACAACACCACTTCTAGATTCTAGTACGTTAACAATGAGAACCAGTCAAACTCTCGCAATTGTTTTAAACGAATTTGCGCGACGCTACGGCGAGAGCCACATTTTGGAAAAGAACCGCCCTCAATCCGTGCAAACTCCTGCACCTGTTTACAGTAAATGAGCGTGGCGCTAAGGCGAGAGCCACATTTTGAAAACGGCCCGCCCTCAATCGTGAAACCCTCGCATGCTCTTACAACGAGTGCTCGCTGCGCTAAGGCGAGAGCCACATTTTGAAAGCAACCCGCCCTCAACCCGTGAACTTCTTGCACATGTTTAAACGAATTTTGGCGGCGGTAGATCGAGAACCACATTTTGAAGACCACCCGCCCCCCCATCTGTGAAGCTACTGTCACGTTTCAGCACCAGTGTCATACATGGTGAAGAAGTCTCCGGCGAAACGCCTGGCCCGCCCTTTCGACCGGCCTCGGGGTGCGACAGGGAGGAGTTCCCCATGAGGACAAGGAATGGGGGAGGAGGAGGAGGACGAGGCGGAGGAGGAGGAGGAGGAGGAGGAGGAGGAGGAGGAGGAGGAGGAGGACGAGGCGGAGGAGGAGGAGGAGGAGGAGGAGGAGGACAAGGAGGAGGAGGAGGAGGAGGAGGAGGAGGAGGAGGACGAGGACGATGGGGGGGGCCTCTTCGACCCCGATCCCGGATCCTCGGCTGCTCGCCCTGCTGCTGCTCCCGCCGCCGCACGGCGGCGGCCGTCCCCCCCCCCTCCCGGCGAGCGGCCTGCGGAGGACGCCCTGGCGCGCTGGTGCGCGGACCGCGGCCTGGAGCCGCCGCTGGGCGAGCGCCAGGCGGCGGGCGGGCGGCGGCGCAGCGCCGAGCGGCGAGGGCGGCGCGGGCGACGGCGGAGGTCACGGCCAGCTCGGCATTGAGAGAGGCCTCTTCGCCCATCAGTCTGGATGGATCCACTCACGGAGCCCATGCAGTGCGTTCTCGTGGGGTCCATTCCATGCGCAGCATGCCTCTCCCCTGGAGCCGTGAGAAACTTACGGCGCGAGGAGTTGTTTGCCATTCTCGGCCTCCGAGGGTCCTTGCCGGGCCTGGGGGCCGTCAAGGAGCGGCTCGGGATTATGAAGCAGTGGTCCTGGGGGATGGGTCGAGACCTCCGGGGGTCGACGTCACGAAAGCGATCGGAGGAGGAAGAGGTACCGATACCGCTACCCTCCCCTCGCTTGCGCCTTTTTGAGCCTCCTGGGAGGCCCCCGTCGCCATCGCAGGATTCGCTTTGAAGTTCTGGTCAGAACGCATCCCGAGGTATGGGTACTTGTGTGGTCTCCCCAGGGACGACGCGGACGACGGCGGAGACGTGTGGTGACGACGGGCGACGGCTGCGATGAAGGGCGGCGGCGGCGACGCTGACCGCCCCTGGCGGCGGCGCGGCGGCGGCGGTGACGACGACAGCAACGATGACACGGCGACGACGAGGGGGAGGAGGAGCAGAAGGGGAAATCATCAGGGAAGTTGTGTGAAGGAGGAGAATAGGGATGGGAAGGCAGGGAGGCAGGAGGCAGGAGTGCGAGGGGAAGGGTCAAATTAGACAAGGGAACAAAGCATGCATAAGTTTTCGGAGTTCCGCGCGCGAGTTTGGATTTGCGCCGGGCCTTTCTGGCGGCGCCTCTGGCGCCGCCCTTGACCCGCTCCGCGCGCCAGGAGGAAGGTCCAGCGCCGATCCGACTAATCTGCGCAGACCTCCGAAAGGTTATGTGTACGTATGGTGGTCGTGTTCCTCTAGAGAGGGGAAAAGAGCTGGACGGAGAGGAGGAGGAGGGTAGCTGCATCAGAGGCAGCAGCATCGACTCGACAAGGGGATGCAGCAGGAGGAGCAGCAGAAGATGCGGGCGGAGCAGGAGGAGGTCGGAGTGGAATATCAGCGCTGTTCCAGGGCAAATCACTCATCGCCAGTCTTGCGTGTGCCTCTCTCACTCTCTCACTCTCTCTCTCTCTCTCTCTCTCTACACACATATATATATATGTGTGTGTATACATATTCTTGCAGTCTGCCATGAACCCGAGGCGATTGGCGCCCCCCTTCCTGCAACTTGGCCCGCAACGGCGTAGGTAGGCGCAGAGGACGACCACGTCGGCGGAGGCTGCGACGGCGACGAAGAGAGGAGGATGGTGAAGGATTCTGGCGCCCTTTGCCCCCTAATGGGTCGGGCGTTGCTCATGAAGGGGTGATAATGAGGGAGTGAAGAAAGGTGAACGGCTTGTTCCCTCAAGGGGCACGAAAGGTACACGTGTGTTCGCCCTCCCAGTTATAGCCCCCAGTTCAGCCACGCCCGAATGCGACCCCCCTGCTGCAACCTGTTGGGGACCCCCGCCGCCGCGTCTCTGGCTCTTCCTCGAAGGCCTGGGGCAAGCCCTGGGGTCGACGACGACTCCGTCGACGGGTGCGACGATGACCACGAAGATGTCGAGCATGTTGACGACGATGGAGAGGTTGATGACCAGGCGGGTGGTAAGGGGAGTGACCTACAAGGGGGTGAAGAAAAAGGCTCTAAAGGAACCCTTCAGGGCCCCTTTTGGAGCCCTAAAGAGGTCCTAAAGCTTTTTCTTCACCCACCCTTTTAGGTCACCCCCCGTTACCACCCGGCCGAGACGATGAAGATTTTGATGAGAAGGGATGACATCGGTCGGAGAACAAAAGCAGCACAAACAAACACAATTTCTCGGAGGTCCGCGCTGATTTCTTGGGTCGGCGCTGGGCCCCCTGGCGGCGCCTCCGGCGCCGCCCCTGGCGCGCTCCACGCGCCAAGGAGGAGGGATCCAGCGCCGACCCAAGGCATCCGCGCGAACTTCTGAAAAGTTCTGTTCATGCGGTGCCTGTTCTATTCCGAAAAGGGGAGGAGGAGGAGACCGGAGGGAGACGAGGGAGACGACGCATGATGACGACGAATATGTTGACGACGACGACGACGACGACGACGACGACGACGATGTCGGCGACGACGGCGGCGACCCCCCCCTCCTCCCTCCCCAGCCTACCGCCTCCACTTCCTCAGCCGCCAGTCTCCTCTCGTTTCGCCCCAGCTCGTGGGGGGCAAGGGCCCGGGTTCTCCGATCGGCGCACGGGCTGCCATAGCTGAAGATGCCGTGTTCGACCGATCCCCCCGTTTGGGTTCGCTAATGCTTGCGTGTGAAGATCGGCTGCTTCCCAACTGATGGGTCCAGCCGGCCAGGGAGGAGGACGTGGAGGAGAAGGAGGAGGAGGAGGAGGAGGAGGAGGAGGCTGTTGCTCAAAAATAAGAGTGCCGTCGGTGGCTGTGGCGTTTTGTTCCTCTACCTCGTCCGTTCCCTCCCCCCCCTTCCTCTCCAGAACAGGCAGCGGACCCGCCTATGCCTACCGAGTTTGGTCGCGTCGAGGAGGAGGAGGCTGCGCATGCCCGTCGGCGGTTGCCAACCTCCCCCCCTCATCGTCGTGAGTCCTCTGACGATCGTCCTTGGCGGTGGTCATCGTCACTCGTTGTCGCCGCCGTCGTCGGCGTCGCTTACCGCCCCTCGTCGCTCGTCCTCGTCGTCGTTACTCGCCGTGGTCGTCTGTCGCAGTCGTCGGTATTCGTCGTCGTCGCTCGTGGTCGTCGTCGCCCATCGTCGTCGTCACTCATCGTCGTCATCTGTCGTCGCCCTGGGCCTGCGGCGCTCGGAGGTGCTGCGGGGCGCGTTCCCGCCGACCGGGTACGCCGACCGGTCACAGACGCTGGCTGGCGCAGGAGCGCCCGCGGGGCGCCCAGACCTCCACCCACCCCCAGGCCTCCTCCTCCTCCTCCTCCTGCTCCTCCTCCTCCTCCTCCTTTTCATCCTCCTCCTTTTCCTCCTCCTTCTCCTTTTCCTCCTCCTCCTCCTCCTCCTCCCCCTCCTCCTCCTCCTCCTCCTCCTCCTCCTCCTCCTCCTCTCCTCCTCTTTCTCCTCCTCCTCTCCTCCTCCTCCTCCTCCTCCTCTTCCTCCTCCTCCTCCTCCCCTCTTTCTCTTCCTCCTCCTCCTCCTCCTCCTCCTCCACCTCCTCCACCTCTCCACCTCCTCATCCACCTCCTCCTCCACCTCTTTCTCCACCTGCCCCTCCCTCTCCTCCTCCACCTACTTATTCACCGTCCCGTCCTCCTCCTCCTCCTGCTCCCCCTCCTCCTCCTTCTGCTCTTGCTCCTCCACCTCCTCCTCCTCCTCCTCCTCCTCCTCCTCCTCCTCCTCCTCCTCCTCCTCCTTCTCTTCCACCTTACTTTTCCGACTTATTCACCTTCTCGCCATGCACGAGGGGTCCTGCAGGGAAGGGCTCGTGGAAAGAAGAGCTCCTATGGGCTCCCTGGGCCTCCTTCCCTAGGCCCCGGGATCACCCAAAAACGGCTCAGGATGAAAAGCTGGTTCCGAGGAAGATTCGAGCCTCCTCCACTTGCTCCTCCTGATCATCCTCCTCATTTGGCATTCGGTCGGTGGGCTTCCTCGTCGCCACGGCTGGATACAGCTCAAGAACGGGCCAGGATGGAGCCAGCGTTAGGATGGACCACGGAAGGGGTCCACGGACATGTGTTGAGCAGATTGTCGAACTTTTTTTCGCGAAGTGAATTGATTAGTTTGTTGGGTGATTGATTGATTGCTTGACTGTCGTGCCGGTTAGGACGCCGTTGTAGTTTCGCCCAGCCATTGCGCAACCCATGCTTCAACCAATGGAAGGCAACAACCAATTGAGGGCCGTTTCATTTGGGGCCGCCGAGTGCGCATCATATGATATGGATCGCATGCCGTTCTATCTTGGCCCGCCGAAAGCACAACCAATGACGCCACCAACAGCAGGCAGCTTTTGTTTGGGGCCCCCAAGTGTGCAACCACTGGCGCAACCAATGGCGGGCCTGCTTGCCTTCGGAGGGAGAGGGCGCAGACTTTGGCGTCCAGGGGTGCAACCTACGGCGCAACCAATGGCACAATTTACGGCGTAGCCGATGGCACAACCGCAACCCAGGCTCTCCCAGAGACATCCGAACACCTTGTGGCCTTCAGGGTGGCACTCAGGGCGCGGCCTTCTGGAAAGCCCATGCCTGAGATTTCCCGTATCCGTCGGCTGAGCTTTCCGTTCCCAGTTGTCTGGGTCGTGTTGTTCCTTGCATTTCCTGGGAAACGAAAGACTCGGGTCCGCCAGAATTCTGGTTTACCGACGCTTTTTGACGAGCCCGTCTTGGAGTTTGACGGTCCAGTGTTCGTGGGATGTGTGCGGCGGGAGCGCGCGTCAATTTTGAGACCGGTTTTCGTGGTTTCCCTAACGGGTCCCGTCAGCACAACCCGAGTCTTACGTCTGCCCGATGTGTTCCTCCTCCCTGGAGCCAGCTACTTCTCCCGAACCGTTGCTCGTCGTCGACGTCGCGACGTCGCCGTGGTCGTCGCCGTCGCGACGTCGCCGTGGTCGTCGCCGTCGCCGTCGCCGTGGTCGTCGTGGTTCTCGACGCGTCTGGCGCGCCGCATCTGCCTAGCGCCACCCCAGGGCTCACCCCGACCGCGACGCTGTTCGTGGCAGCGGAGCCCTCTGGCAGCTGACGGGCGGCGCCGCAGGGAGCTGGGCGAGGAGGAGGAGGAGGAGGGAACGGTGAGGGTGGAGGAAGGAAAATGTACGGGGAGGGACGGTGGAGGATCATGCTGGGATTGTGCTGATTAGATCCTGCACGCAGATGGACGGCACTACGCGGGACGGCTTACTCGCTGCGAAGGCATATTCACATGGGGGAGTGTGTAAGGCGTAAGGCGGCACATTGGCCAGCCCGCTTGAATACGTCGGAGCCTGAATCTGCACTTGATGGAGTAGGACGGGGGAGGAGAGGGAGAAGGAGGAGGAGGAGGAAGAGGAGGAGGAGGAGGAGGGGGAGGGGGAGAGGGGGAAGAGGAGGAGGAGGAGGAGGAGGAGGAGGAGGAGGAAGAGCAGGAGGAGGAAGGAGAGCAGGAGGGGGCAGGAGCAGGGCGAGGGGAACCAGGCGAAGCAGGAGCAAGAGAGGGAGGGAGGGAGGGAGGGAGGGAGGGACAGAAGTTGGGAAGAGGGATGGAGGGCGGGGAGGGAGGAGGAGGAAGAGGGGGAAGGATAAGGACCAGTGCAAGCCCAAGACGCATCGTCGATGTTGCAACATACCCTCCCTCCAAGTTCCCTCCTCAGCAGGCCCTACAAGAATATAGTTGCATTGCGGCAAATGCCCCATTGAAAGTCAACCATTGGAGAATCCCCACTCGTGCTAAAACACAATGTCCTTGGATTGCAGCGCCGCGAGTCAACGTGATTGTTGCGTCCTGACCATCTTGAACCGTGCCGGAACACCAATCCTGGTTCTTTAACACAGCGAACCAACGTGATTGCTACGACATGACACTCCTAAGCCGACGTCGGACATACGAATTCTTGAAACGCCTTTGAAAGTGTACGACACACTGTACGCGGCGCTAACGAGAGCCACAGTTTGAAAACGACTTGCCCTTCATCGGTGAAACGGTTGCGAATGATTAAGCACGTGTGCGGGGCGCCAACGCGAGAGCCACCTGTTGAAAACGAGGTGCCCCCCTTCCGTGGAATTGCTGCCGGATTGAGGACACACGTGCGCGGCGCTCGTGCGGGAGCCTCGTGTTGAAGATGGCCCGCCCCCCGCCCGTGACATCATACAACGCTCGAGCTCCAGGATCGCAGATGGTGGGGAAGTCTCGGGCGAGACGCCCAGCCCGCCTTACCGGGAGTACGACACAGAAGAGTGACGTAGTCAGACGGGAAAGGAATGGAAGAGCAGGAGGAGGAAGAGGAGGAGGAGCAAGGACGGTGACGAGGAGGAGGAGCGAGGAGGGACGAGCGAAGGGGAACAGGCAAGGAGGGGGGAAAATGCAGGGAGGAATGAGGAGAAAGAGGATAATGAGAAAGAGGAAAGAGAGAGGAGGACGAGGACGAGGAGGAGGAGGAGGAGGAGGAGGAGGAGGAGGGGAGGGAGAGGGAGGGGAGGGGTGTGTGGAGGGGGGGGATCGGAGTGTGATGACCACCCACATGGCGAGATTGCTGCATGTTCTGGAACAGCCGATCGTCTTGATCGGTCCATCGTGGGTTGAAACTGGCGTGGGCATCCTAGTCCATATCTTGAATCTCGTTGCTTGGACGACATCGCCGCCTTACTGGCGACCCCTGTCTCACCGCTGAGATGCACAGACTCCTGTGTTGCCACGCGCGCCGCTGGACTTTGCAAAGGGACTGAAAAACATTGTCGACCCTGTCAGCTTCACCGCGCAGTATCCTCCGCCATCCTCGTTCCAAAGAGTAGTACCTAGGAGCAGCAGATGAGGGTCGGGGGTGGACAGAAACCCCAGCAGTTACACGTCGATTAGTGAATTGTCCGTTTTCGGTTCTCGAGAGGGCGCCGTGGCCGTTATTTTCCAGGCTTGTGCCCGCCAGGTTTGGGCCTCAGGTCGTTTTCACTAAACCACGTTTTACTAAAGGGGGCCTGTCCATCCCCGAGAGGAAGAGTACGAGGAGGGCTATATTTGCCAGCACCCCTTTCCCCTCTGAGTGCGTTCTTCTCGTGTCTCGCCCTCCACTCGTCACTGCCGCCACAAACATGCCATCATGTCACGTCCTCTCGTACAGCGCACTGAGCAGACAGAGAGAGAAAGAGGGCAAGGGAATACGGAACAAGGAGCTTGGAAAAACTAACCCCCAAAACTACTTCAGGCCAAAGGGCTGGTGGGATGCCCCCACGTTCCTTCCCCTTCGGCTCCGAATCTTGCGCCCCTTTCCATCGCTCCGATTCAGGCCCCCGTTTGCCCGCTCTCGCTCTCAACCCCGGCTTGCCTCCCACGACGTCGCCAGATGAGCGGTTGGCCTTCACGCCGTGCCCCGAAGGGTACGGGCGGGCGCCACAGCGGAGCGCGCAAGACTCCAGCGCTCGTCTCGTCCCGTCTCCTCCCTCTGCATGCCCGCTTCCCGTGCCCCCCCCTCTGCGCCCCCCCCTCCCGTCCCATCCCCAGCGTCTGCCCTTGTCCCCTCCGCCGCCCCTTCCCTCTGTCTCCCCCCTCCCCGCTGTCCCATATTCCTCCCCCCACCCCTCCGCACCCCAGCTTACCGCCCCCTCCCCCCCGATACCTACCCTTCTGCGCCCCCATGCCTCCCCTCTGCCCCATGCCCCCTCCCCCTTCCCTTGCTCCCGCACTCTGCCTCTGCCCCCCCCCCCTCCCCCTTCTGCCTCCTGCTTGCTGCTTCTTGCCCCTTCCCCCCCCCGCCTTCTCCCCACCCTCTTCGGGCGTTTCGTATGCTGGGGCGGCAAGAAGTGAGAGGACCACGGGCTGCATGAAAAGGGCCAAAAAATAGCGCGCGAAAGGTGCACCCTTCTCCGCCCCCAGTTTGCCTGCGTACAGTGGGGACCCATGCCAAGAATTTGCCTCCAGGGCGCCCTGGGTTTCTTGGGTCTCGGTGGCCTTGCGGTGGAACGCGTGACGCTCCCACGCCAAAAACTTGGGGACGTCCTGGGGTCTCAGGGTTGGGTTTCTCGTGGGAGGCTTCTTGTGGTCGAGCTCCTGCTGCACCCACCGGGCACCGCCCGACCCGCGTCGTCTCCCCTGCGCCGCGCGACCTGCCCGGCCCCGGCCCCCGCGCGCCCCCAGCTGACGCGGGCCACCTCCGCCGAGAATCTCTGCTCCTGGCCGCTTGGCCGCGGAGGCGGGAGTCGCCGTGGTCATCGGGACGTCGCCCCGTCGTGGGAGCGAGGAGGAGGACCGAGGACGAGGAGGAGGAGGAGAAGGAGGAGGAGGAGGAGGAGGAGGTTGGAGAGGAGGAGGAGGAGGAGGAGGAGGAGGAGGAGGAGGAGAGAGAAGAAGAGGGTGAGTAGGAGGAGGCGGAGGAGGAGGAGGAACGGGAGGATGGGTGACTAGAACAGTGGGGAGGAGGAGGAGGAGGAGGAGGACGAAGAGGAGGAGACCCAAGAGGCCGAGAAGAAGGAGGAGGAGGAGGAGGAGGAGCAGCAAGAGGAGGGGGAGGACGACGACGACGACGAAGAGCGGAGGAGGAGCAGCAGCAGCAGTGGGAATACGAGCAGGAAAACCAAGAGTAGGATGAAGATGGGGAGCGGGAGCTGGAGTAGGAGAGCCAAGTAGAGGAGAAGGAGGAGGACGAGGAGGGCGAGACTGAGAATCAGATGTGACGCTTCGCCCAATAGAATGCGATAGACTTTGGAGTACAACCCCTTTGTTGTTTGTGCGGGGGGGGCCGGCGCCGTCTGCAGGGGTTGGCTGGGACTCTGATTTCTGATTATGTGTTTTCCAGACGGGTCGTGATTGCTATTATTTCCCGCCGCAGATGGTGGGTCGCTCGGTGAAAAACGTAAGAATGATCGCGGCCTTGATAACATGCGTCCAACGTTAGATTGGTCAATGGATCTTGGCTTTGGCAGCGCGGATGTATTGTTTATGTCGGGGGATCCTAGCCTCAGGAACGCGGGCACATTGAGTTGTGCTATCCATCGTGGATTCGGCGGTGTGGATCCATTTGTTTGCACAAGGGGGTCGTTGCGTCGCGATCGCGGGGTCATATGTTGTATACTACGAGCTATGGCCTCAGGAGGCCGAGCCTATGTATGTTTATATAATCCAGCGGCAGTGGCGGAATTCCGCTTTCAGCTTTTGTGGGATCGCGCGCGTTGAGAAGTTGAAATAGTCAGAAACAGGGCAAGACTGGGTTTCTGGGGCATGATAAATTAACTTGCCAGACACCGTGCTCAGTTGCCAAGGTGATTGCAACATGTGTCACTCCCTGACTGCATTACTAAGGACTAAATCGCACAGTTGCTCTAACATTGCCTTCGCAGCTTAATTTGCCCTCGCAAGGCGGGCCGGTGGGCGGCAGATACGCCAAAAATGGTGTGGGTGTTGTGATTGTTGTTTTTATGTTGGCCAGCGTTTTCTGCCCTTCTCTGCCTCCCGCCTGTAACGTCTGGTGGTAGTTATTTCGGTAGTTAGTGCCCCTGCGATCAATCGAGACAGTGCCGTCACCTCTCGAGAAAATTAGAACCTGCCGTTGATTTGGTTGAATTTGATCGCGAATGTCTTTTTGATCGGAGAACAGTTGCCCGCCGAGAGGCCAGGGACCACGCCCTCCAAACATGTGGAATCGCTTATTCTGAAGGTACGTGCTCGGGGCAGATCCGTGACAAAGGGCGACCCACGTGCTTGCATCGGACTGTTTAGAATAGTTTGGACCGGAGCCAACATAGTACTCGCATGGTTGGCCAGGAGCAGGAAGAACAGGAGGAGCAGGAGCAGGAGCAGCAAGAGGAGGAGGAGGAGGAGGAGGAGGAGGAGGAGGAGGAGGAGGAGGAGGAGGAGGAGGAGGAGGAGGAGGGAGGAGGCGGAGAAGGAAATGGAGGGGACGAGGGGGAAGCGGGGAGAAAAAGAGAGGAGAGGGAGGGAGAGATGACGAGGAGGAGGAGGAGAGGAGGAGGAGGAGAGGAGGAGCAGGAGGAGCAGGAGGAGCAGGAGGAGCAGGAGGAGCAGGAGAAGGGAGGGACGGAAGGGAAGAAGCGGGGAGAGGAAGGGAGGGAGGGAGAAACAGAGAGAGGGCAAGGGGCCGCATGTGGCCGCATGTGGCCGCAGATCACCTGCGCCATCTCGCCGTCCCACTGGCCCGCGGCTTCTGCCGACGGCCCCCGCGCACGGCACGGCGGCAGCCTCGCGCGGGGCGCGCGCCCCCCCCCCGCGGCGCGCAGGCGCCCCCGCGGCGGAGGTGGTCGGCCACGCGGCCGGCACGCCGCCGGCAGGCGCGGCGGCGGACATGGCCCAGGTGATGAGCCTGGCGCGCCGCCGCACCCCCGCCAGGGGCCCGGGGCAACCTCTTCTCCTCCCCCTCCTCCTTCTCGTCCTCGTCCTCCTCCTCCTCCTTCTCCTCCTCCTCCTTCCTCCTCCCTCCTCCCCTCTTCCCTCCTCCTCCTCCGCCTCCTCCTCCTCCGCCTCCTCCTCCTCCTGCTGCTCCTCCGCCGCCTCCTCCAGACTCTCGTTTTACGCTCGTCTCCTCCTCCTCCTCCTCCTCCTCTTCTTCCCTCCCCCGCCCCCTTTCTCCTCCTCCTCCCTCCTCCTCCTCCTCCTCCTCCTTCCTCCTCCTCCTCTGCTTCTGCTTCTCCTCCTCCTTCTACTCCTGCTCCTGCTCCTCCTTCCCCCTCCTCCTCCTCCTCCTCCTCCTCCTCCTCCTCCCTCCTCCTCCTCCGCCCTTCTCCTCCTCATTGTTCTGCTTCTCCTCCCCCTCCTCCTCCATTTCTTTCCCTTATGAATATCGTCTCCCTGTCAAGCTCCGAGACAAGTGTTTAGGGCTGGCCCGGCGTTTCGCCTGAGACATCCTCACCATGTATGACCCTGAAGCTTCAACAATGAAAACGGTTTCACATATTGAGGGCGGATGGTTTTCAGAATGTGGCTCCCGCCGCAGCGCCGCGCAGATTCTTTCTTGTAAATTCCCAGAGCTTCATGGATTGAGGGCGCGTCGTTTTCAAAATGTGGCTCTCGCTTTAGCGCCGCGTACATCCGTTTGAAAAATGCAAGAGCTTCACGGGTTGATGGCGGTTCATTTTCAAAATGTGGTTCTCGCCTTCGCGCCGCAAGTATTTTTTTGTAAAAATATACCAGAGTTGCACGGACTCCCATGATCGACGGACTAGAAATGATGTTTTGGAAGGGTTCGAGATTTCGGAGGGCGCAACAGTTACAATGATTCGCAGCGTTGAAGTCCCAAACATGGCGTTATGGCGCGCAACGCTCAGGTTTATCCGTGGCGTTGGAATACGGAGAGCGATGTTTTGGCATGCTTCAGGGTCTTCAAACGGTTGTCTTCCACCGAGGCAGTTCCCCCAGTCGAATTGAACCGTTGTATGGGGCCCATGAAGGAGGGAGGGTTTATTTCAACATCGTTGATGACTCTTGGAATTCCACTAGTACCCTCCTCCTCCTCCTCCTCCTCCTCCTCCTCCTCCTCCTCCTCCCTCCTGCTCCTCCTGCTCCTCCTCCTCCTCCTCCTCCTCCTCCTCCTCCTCCTCCTCCTAGGACTTCTTTTACGCTCGTCTCCTCCTCCTCCTCCTCCTCCTCCTCCCCCGCCCCCTCCTCCTCCTCCTCCTCCTCCTCCTCCTCCTCCTCCTTCTGCTTCTCCTCCTCCTTCTCCTCCTGCTCCTGATCCTGATCCTGCTCCTCCTCATCCTCCTCCTGCTGCTCCTCCTCCTGCTTCTGCTTCTGCTTCTCCTTCTCCTCCTCCTCCTCCTCCTCCTCCTCTCCCTCCTCCTCCTCCTGCTCCGTCCTCCTCCCTCCTCGTCCTCCTCCTCTGCTCCTTCTCCGCCTTTGCTACTCCTCCTCCTCCTCCTCTGCTCCTCCTCCCTCATTCCGTATACATAATTTTGCCCTGTCGCACCCCGAGACCAGTTTTACGTCGGGCCGGTCGTTTCGCTTGAGATTTCGTCACCATGCATGACTTTGAAGCTTAAAAAGTGGCAACAGCTTCACAGACGGAGGGCGGGTGGTTTTCAACCTGTGGCTCTCGCCTTAGCGCCGCGCACATTATGTTTTTAATATTGCAAGAGTTTCACAGGTGGAGGGCGGTTCCTTTTCAAAATGTGGCTCTCGCCTTAGCGCCGCGTGCATTCGTTTTTTTTTTTTGCAAACTTGCAAGAGTTTCACGGGTGGAGGGCGGATCCTTTTCAAAATGTGGCTCTCGCCGTAGCGCCGCGCACATTCGTTCACACATTTGACATACTTTCACTGATTCCCATGATCAAAGTATCAGAAAAAGGTGTTTGGGAAGGATTCAGGGTTATGCGGGTGCAACAGGTATGTTGACTCGCGGTGTTGAAGTCCCCGGAATGGCGTTCTGGCACGATTCTGGATCGTCAAGACGCAGCAAGCAGGTTGATCCGTGTCGTTGACGCCCCGAGAACGATGTTTTGGCATGCTTCAGGGTCTTCAAGGGTGTTTTCCAACGAGGCAGTTCCCTCAATGGAATTGAACCGTTGTAGGGGCTTATGAACAGGGAGCTTGAAGGCAGGGATAATTTCAACATCGTTGATGACTCTGTGGTCTACACTGGCCATCATCCTCCTTCTCCTCGTCCTCCTCTTCCTCATCCTCCTCCTCATCCCCCTCCCCTTCCTCCTCATCATCATCAGCATCATCAGCATCACCATCATCATCATCAGCATCTCATCAGAATCATCATCATCATCGTCATCATCATCATCACCATCATCATCAGCATCATCAGCAGCATCAACATTATAATCACATCATCATCATCATGATCATCATGCTCCTCCTCCTCTGCCTCTTCCTCCTCCTACCCCCCCTTCCTCCTCCTCCTCCTTCTGTATACGCCTCCTCCTCCTCCTGCTCCGCCTCCTCCTTCTCCTCATCCTCCCCTCCTCCTCTTCCTCCTCCTCCTTCCCCCCTTCCTCCTCTCCTCCTCCTCCTCCTCCTCCTCCCTTCTCTCCTCCCCCTCCCCCTCATCCTCCTACTCCGCTCCTCCTACTTCCTGCTCCTTCTCTCCTCTTCCTCCTCCTCATCCTCCTCCTCCTCTTCTTCCTCCTCCGCCTCCTTCCCCTCTCCTCCTCATGCTCACCTCCTTATCCTCCTCCTCACTGCTTCTCCTCCTCCTCATCTTCGTCCTCCTCCTCAACTTCCACCTCCTCCTTCCCTCCTCCTCATCCTTCTCCTCTTCCTTCTCCTCCTCCTTCCCCCCCCCCCCTCCTCCTCCTCCTCCTCCTCCGTAGCCATTGTGGCTCAAGGCTATGAACCGTCCCGACGACCGCGAGTCTTTCGGGGCGACACCTGGGCGCGAGGGAGGTTCTGCTTTGAGGCCACTCTCCAAACCAGTCCTCTGGTGCACTGCTTTCTTTGTGTGCCTTCACCGCGGGAGTTGGGCCCCCGCCGAGTCTTGTCCCGCTCCAAGAATGCTGTTCCGATGGGATTGCCTTCTGAGTCTGGCTGTCAACGTATTGCAGATGAGTTGGAGGCGGCTCCCACGTTTCCTTCACACGAACGTATGGTTGGCACGGGTAAAGGTGGCAAAGGTGGTGTGGCTAGTGCTTCTGGCTCTCGCCCTGCTGGTCCTCCTCCCACTAAACGGCGCACTCCAGCAAATGGTGATGTCATCATCGGTGAAGAGGATGAGTGGGATGGAGATGACTATATGCGAGAGTTGTGCAAAGCCGAGCTCCTGCCCCTCATTGAGGAGTGGAAGGCCCATGTCAAAGAAGAGCTTGGCAAGTCTGTCAAGGAGTCCGTGGCCGCTGGCAACAAGACCGTCCTCGAGTTGCTCGAAGCTGTTCGCCAAACGGTACAGGACAACCAGGCCACCATGGACGAGAAGATCATGTCAGTCGTCAGGCCGCAAGTGGATGATGTATCGCGCCGCTTTCAAGCCCAACTGGATGCACAACGAACTCTCCTCGGTGATCATGGTCGCCGCATCGATGAGCACGACACAGCGATCGACGCCCTCAACCGTCGCTTGGATAATATGCAGCGAGCATTGGCATTGGCCAGTGAGAGGCCACAGCCACCCCCTCGGGTTCCTGCGGGCTTCGACCGCGACCCTGACGGCACGATCGTTGTTGCGATGTCGCAGAAGCACATTACTGTGGCCCACGTACGTGAAACCCTTCAGCCATTTATCAGTGGGCTGGGCTATGAGGCGTCGGAGTATGAGATCAAAGCTGCGGGGACGAACCATCCAAGCGCTTCATTGTGGCCTTCAAGGGTGCGGTGGCCCCAGCGACGCGCAAGGCTCTCACTGTCCTGCAGAACCTCAAAGTTGATAAGCACTGGAGGGAGTTCACGGTCGGCGTGTCGGGCCCGCCCGGCTGCAGGCTCTTCCTCGGTCCCGACAAAAGCCCGAAACAGATCAAGACAGAAATATTACTTCGACGTTGGCGCTCGGAGCTTGCGACTGCTTACCCTCAGGCCAAGCTTTTCTCGGACCGCGAGCGGGGGTGCCTCCTGGTGGGCTGGGATAAGATTCTCAAAGTGGAAGTTGGTGCGGGTCAAGATGATTCGAGGCTCCAGTGGGAGCCCAACCGTATCACGAAAAACAACATGGACATCGAGCGTCTGCGCGCCTGCACCAAGCACCTGGTGGAGCCTGCTGCGGAGGAACAGTGGTGCCTCTAGCGTGTGGCATCTTTTTCGGCACTGTGCACCTCGTGATGGGCTGCCTCCTCGTCCTCTACGGTTCGCCCCATGGAACTGTCGATCGCTACTTCAGGCTGGTGGGCAGACGTCCAGTTTGAAGAAGCACTACCTCTCGCGCTTGCGCTTGCAGGAGACGGCGGTGGCCCTCCAGGAGGTTCGCCAAGATGGGGTCCAACTTCGTTCATTCCTTCGTGCTGTTGACCCTGCCGTGCACATTGAGTCATCATGTGGGGACTCGCTGATTCGCGGAGGCGTTGCAGTTTTGATTCCACCGTTGCTGACGTCAGCAAATGGGGAGACTCGCGTTGAGTCGCAGCCTGTGGTGGCAGGCAGGGTTCTACGAGTTGCCGCTATTGCTCCTGATGCTGAGCTCATTATATAAAATGTACACAACCATGAGCTTGATGCTGATGCTGTTCGTGCTGTCGTTCGTCGAATTCGGTCTGATCTCTCATATGCAGAGGAGTTCCCAGACAAGGTGATGGTGACCATCTTGGGCGATTTCAACTTCGCGGCTGAGGAGGCGCTCATCCTCGACTCACCTGCGGCGGCGGTGAAGCAATCTGAGCGGCGTCATCATGGACGCGCTGCGATCTGGAAGAAAGCCCTGGGGAGCATGCTGGAGCTCGAACA